GCTTCCTCAAACTTGAGTTCATTCAGTACCTGTGTCCCGTTTTCAAGCCAATTATTAACAATAAGATCGGCTTCCGAGTCATGGGGAAATTCACTGATCTGTAGCACATGGTTTTCTCGACGCAATTTTTCAATTGAATTTTCTGATTGTTTTTGATTCCAGTTCAGATGTTTTTAAAGGTGTTCCCTTTGGTTCAAGAAACTTTTCTACTACTTTACCTCGATTTTCGCGTTCTCGAGGATACTTTTACATCTGATTTTTTAATGGATTCTGAGTTCTCTTTCAAACTCGAGTCTCCAAACTGACTTAATTCTAACTGATAAGCCCAAAATATCCACGTTAAATGTGCCGTAATGAGGAGAGAATTGTTTGATGAAAGGAGCTTTTAATCGACTATTTTTAAGGCGTTTAATGTGTTCAACTTATTTAAAACGCCTTCATAATGACTTGGGGTGACCGTCATCTGCCTTCTTGAAAGCCCCTCAATACCATTCCATTTGAATCTCAAAAATATTGGCCATGACGCTCTTAGTAGACCTCTCAGCTTTGAACTTCCCTATGGACAAAACTCTTTGGATTGAATTTTGTTTTCTGGATCGGAGTGGTAGATCCAGGTTTTTAATCTCCGGCAGCACAGCGCTTAAAAATGTTATCACCATTTGCTTCCATCTTTGCCAAGGTTGCGAAAGAAAGTTCATATCTTTGGATCAGATGTTTTCCTGCAACGCTTTTCAAACTCACCTTTCTCACCAAGAGCTTGCTTAAGCCAAGATTTTCAGTGTGAATTGGAAATGTCCATCCTGCTTCCTGCTTCATTGACAATTTCCTCGATGGTGACTCGTCGGTCTTGTTTCGCTAGGCTCTGCGCAAGAGAGATGCTTTCTTGATTTCTAGCTATTTCGGTTTCCCGCCTTGTTGATCGTCATCAAGTTACTACACTCTTCTCTCATTAGAGCGTTTAATCCAATCATAAATGACTGCTTTGCATGACGCAGAGTCCCCATATACCTGTTGTAAAGTTTCTATAATCTGAATAGTCTTTGTATTTAGTTCAGTTGGAAATTTTATGTTTATCTCTAATCTCAGAATTTGCCAATTGAAGTGTTGTCTTTGTATCGAGTGGTCGGCCAGTTGTATGTTATTAAGGAAGCTCTAAAGACATGATTGAATTCGTAAATCTTGGTTCAATTTAAAGTTATTACCTTTGTCCGAGAATCTTTTGACTCACCCCGTATTGCATGTGCCATGAGTGCTAGATTGACGTGCCAATGAGCTTTGACCAGAATTTATGTTAAGTGACTGGGGGTGTGAGATAGACTTACCTCAACGTGGTGCACCATGGGCAATATATACTCATACGGCAAAAAAGTCTATTAACTGGCAGTTGACTTCTGACTTCGAACTACTATCACCTCCCTGTATGCCATGTTCGAACACAACCTTTTCTCTGCCTTTGTGTCTATCTGTCTCTTTTACATATGGGAATCACTCTTCTATTCCGCCTCTCCACTTTTGCTCACTTTGATGTTCTTCTCCTCTGTGAGGCTTGAAATCAGCTAAAGGGCTAATGATAAGTTTCATAAAGCCCGCCATTTGAAATAAATGTTAAGTGACTGAAATAGTTGAAACGAAATGCACATTAGAATAGGAAGTTTAACAAGGCTGACTAAAGTATTGATCAGTAGTTAAGAGAGAAATTCGAATTCTAGCATACTTTGCCCATTGACCATTTCATGAAAGCGCTGCATATGTGTCTATTTTAATGCGTATTAAGGAATCTGGTCTAGGTTCCAGTGGAAGCCGAAACAACTTGTCAATATCAATTTGACGGAAATTTTGGTAGTCAGAAGATAGATGCAAATAGTTGAAAAATACAAATTTCTTCACATATTCCCCTTTCAGTTGAATTTTCCCGTTATATTGCTTAATTTTCCACTTTTTTCTAAAGAAACTTAACAATTCTCTATTATAAATAACATCTTTGATCTTTGATAGCACTGCTTGCACATCAGTGCATTAAAGAAAGATGACTGTTAGGACCTTGGAGTTTGTGTGTTGAAAAGAAACGTCCCTCATACTGCTGAGTAATTGGTGTTCGTGCCCTTAATAAAGGAATCTTCGCATTGTAGTGTCAGATTAGGGTAGAACGGACAGATGTTTGGTTAAACAATTAATTTGTGGATAACAGCTGCCTTAATCAAGATTCAATAGGTTGGATTAAGTGAGCCTTTAGAATGAGTCCCACCCCTAAATTGTTTAGTAATGTTCCAACTTATTCTTTGTCGTGACCATGGACTTCTTGATTGAAAGCTGAATAAAAATTCAAGTATTCTTGCATCAGGTACTTAAATAAGCGCACAGATCTTCGCGGTCTTTGTGTTTCATGGCTTTTCCAACTTCTTGGAGCCTTTTGTTCTCTTCGCCTTTCCTACTTCTGGTGGGGTCTTCGCCTTTCAATTCCCCACGATCACCTTCAAACTCGGCGCGAAAATATCCACCATATTGCCCGCTTTCGTGACTCTCAAGACTTCCACAAGTTGGGCGACCTTCAAGTCTCTCTTCTCTTTGGCATTTTTGTCGAGACGGCGGTCGCATTCTCAGATATCATCCTAACTGCAACTTCATCTGCCCTGCTAAATCTCTGGAAACGCCTCCAACATCATCGCCTTCAAAACGATGGTGAAGACTTTCGAATGGCAGAGTTTGTGCTCTTCACTCTACAACAATCTACTGCCATCTATATTGTCTATTTGGGTGAGGTTCACCTAGATCACGAATAACTACTTAAATTGACTAGAAGTAGTACATGTTTGTCTTTTACTTAGGTCTGCCTTTGACTGGCGCCTATATGAATGGGGTGAATGCAGTGATTCAAACTTGGGGCCTTGGTCGTGCGTCTAATCCATTTTATCATATTACCATCTACTGGTTTAGTCCACTACTTGGACTGTGGGCAGGAAAGAAAACACTGGAAGTAATTCATGCCCTATTTAAGTTTTGGGAATGTCGTCTTCAAATACCTGCGAATGGTGTCCTAGTCTCGGAAATCGCTGCCGAAATTACGGAGAATTCGCCGAACGCAAGTGAAAATTGCTATCGTCGACGTAATGGTCTTCACTCAAAGTCCTTGGTTAGTTGAAAGTGATATAATGATCTCGATTTAGTTGCATAGTTGTGGAAAGTTACAATTTTAGGCATTTCTTCGTCTTCTTATAATGAAAGTTCGGAAAAAATTGCACAACCTACGCTATGTTTTTATCTCACTTCTTGAAGGTTAGACTTGCTGGCTAAGAAATACCTTGGTGCATTTGTCTTGTTCGTCCATTTCAACATACCTTCGATGTCACGTGCCGTTTCGCTTCCGTTCGCCAACGCACGTCATTTATTATTTTTCTGGGTTTAATGATTTGTGAGGGCTGACTTCTTTAGCCCAATTTACTAACAATAAGCGGGTTTTGCATTGCTTGCAAATGTAGTACACATTTCTGGTTCAATTAATAATTGTAACTTCTAACATAAACAGTGGTTATGGGAGTAGATAGAAGATCGAGNTGGGGGGGGGGAGAATAACTAAATTCACGATTTATTTTAAATTATTAACCTTTGTTTCCTTACAAACTGTGTTTTTTTAAGCAAGCGTCTGTCTTGTCTCTCCTGATTTCAGCTTACTTGGTTGTGTCGATATCTCTTTGTGACTATCTTCCATTTGTTTTAGTTAACTTGCCTCCCATTAATTCGCCTTTTCTTAAGCACACTTTCTCGTAGCGCCTGGCTTAAATTTTCTGTACTAACAGTTTTCTCACATGGTTTAGAGCCTGGTTAAAACCAGTCTTTTATAATAAGACATTCATCTATCATTTCGAAGTTTAGTGGACTCAGGTAAGTTTATTGCCATTGATATACCTCATAGGTCTGTCGCAGTACATGATATGCTCTTCCTTCGGCTAACTGGAGATAGGGGGTTGGCGAGGAGGGGAGGTGGGGGAGGGGTATATACAGTATCTTGCCCTTAAAACCTGTGATCTCACAACTGTCTTGAGCCCTAAAGGTCCTACGATGAGGGTGAAATGATGATGTCGCTTTTTACTTGGCCTATTCGATATATTTTTTATCGACAGTCAATTAACGGTAATGAAGAGTTGAAGACACTAAGTTCTACTTTTAAGGGATGCCGTGTTAAATCGCTAGCACACCTCCATTGAGTGATACTTCAAGCTACTAATGCAAGCTATTTTATTTGTATCAAATGGCAGCCGTTTTGATAGTTATCATTAGCCCTTTAGTTGACTTCAGGCATCACAGAAAGGAAGGAACATCAAAGGGATAAAAAGTCGAGGGGAGAAGAATAATGATTCACAGATGTAAGAGACAGACAGACACAAAGGTCGAGAAAGGGCGAGATGAGTACTGTGGAAGTTGTCGAATATGACATACAGTGGTGTCATGGTAGTTTGAAGTCAGAGGTCAACTGCTTATTTATGAACTATTTGCCTTATGAGTATAGGTTGCCCAGGGTGCACCACGTGGAGGTAAGTCTGTCGTACACTCCCTAATGCAAGATATAGAAACGTACCAACCTCGAACGCTCTTTATAGTTAGAATCGAAGACAATCTCGTGTTGGGCGATGTCTACGTTAATATGGTATTTCGTTTTCGCTCATTTCCGTGTTGTTGAATGCCTGAGATCTATTAAAATAAAGTTTCATTTGAAATGTGGGGAAGTTTATACTGCGAACTTAAGTATTAAAATTTTTTAGATTCAATAAAGCGATTGGATGAAAGCGCGAATCTGCTTCACCAAAATGTTTACCTTGATTAGCAACGCAATTTTTTATTTACATGGGCACTTCGAGTTGGTTAATCAAATTGTTTGTTCATCTCAACCCTAAAAATGCCAATAACAATCTTTTCTTGAGTCTGTGAATCGCTCGTATTCGTTTTGGATATTTGATCCGAAAATTAATGCAGAATATGCTTTGACAGAATAGCCCACATTTTGGCATCACCTTGTCTGAAATCCCGCTTAAAATAGCCCCAGTGCGCTTGGTGTTGTTTTCACCGCAGTCAAATATTATCGTCATATTTATTGTTGATTCTAAATTCTTCGGCAAGCTATTTTTCAATTGTTTTGATGTTATTTGTGACTAAGCTCATTTGCCAAGTAACCAACACATCTTATCATTGCAGTTGGAGTATAATTTGCTTGCATTCCGTTTTTGAACTCGGCTCTCGGTTATCTAATTTCCGAAAATGAAGCCTTTAAGTGGCCGACTTCATTAAGATAAAAGCTATGGCCTGGAAGGTTGTCTTGGGGAGCGCTAGACGGTTGTTAAATTACTAACTGAAGTGGGTTCACTTATTAATATGTGATCATATAGGCGTCTTATCAACCATTGGGGGCAGATGATGGTAGATCAATCAAATCAAATAAATCTAATTTTATATGCATGGAGCTACGTTCTCGGTTCGGTAAATACGCCAAGTGTTTAAATAACTTTCGATTTTATTTCCCTTTTACTGATGTTTTATTTCTTCGCTTTGTAGTAGCTAGCTCCCACTTGTATTAAATTCGAATTGGAGTGAAAGTTTTGACTTTAGCTTATCTATAATAATTTTGAAAAGAATGTGCACATGCTACTGGTTATTAATCAATGATTACAAAATTCGAACGTCTTTTCTTGATCCACATCTGTCCACTAACTGAAAATGAATTCTTTCGCTTAGTCTTTTAACACACACTCACAGGCATGAAAAATGCTAGTTAGGGTTGTTGGATATCAATTTTGTCTGATTTTCCAAATGTTGTTGTTATGAATTTTTTCGTCTTAAGCTGGTTAGAGGTTAGATTATCCTCAAAATTTCTACCCGATTTCTTTTATAGCCCAAAAATCACCCAAACGGATCGAGTTTGCATCGGTCTTCTGAGTGTGACACTCTCCTTAGAACTCGCAGGAAAAGCCATACGGCCACAAACGATTCTTCAATGGTCAACTGCGGAAGCAACGATGATGAGCTCCGCCATCGTCGTCATAAAAGCCTAACGCGAAACGAAAGGGTTCACTTATAAAGATATTTTCTTCTATTTTCATATTATTTGGGTTAATACAAATATAACATGGAAATATTTTCAATGATATCCTTATTTTGACGACTTAGCAACAAATAATTTGTTGTGATATTTGAAAATTCTTTACTACTTACAAGTTTACAGTAGCCGCTTCTTGTTTAATGAACCTGAGAAGGATGCATATTGATAGTAAGACCCAACCCTATAAACAAACTAGTTATAGTCACATACTAGGCATGAAAGATGTTTCTATGGCATAAACATTGTTCTGGCTAAACTTTAAGACATGACTGTTCTGGTAGCCACTAAACGAAGGTTGTTGCAGAATACTGATAATCCTGTGATTAAAATAAAAGGACTAGTGATATTTGGTTTGAAGAATGTGTCCAATTCAGAATAAATAGACGCTCAATTTGGAGTAGGTTAGGGACTATGGAAAAGTTTTTAGGCTGCCATGGAACAATCATTTCATTGAAAATATACGTGACCTATTTACACTTGTTAGGAACCCAAAGCACCTTGTTTCGCTATGTTTCTATGAGAATGTTGATCGCTTTATCTGAGAGGGCTTGAATTGAACAATTTTAAGTGATAAACTAATTTGTAAATGATTTAGGTCGTCATAATTCATGTTTATTTTGCTAGAATTAATGGCATTTAAAATAAATATCAATTGCTCCATTAAGCAGATTTATATTTAAACAAAATTGAACCGCATAAATCAGGATTCTGATTCTATTGAGTGACATTTCTTCTTAAAACCCGAGTAGTAAATGAGCTCATTTTATTACCAAAATCTTCCTAATTTGGGATATTTGGAACAGTTAATGTTATGATCATTAAATTTAGAATCAGACTTAATGCCGTTTTTATAAATAACTTTAAAAATCGTCTTTGCATTGATATATGTTGCGAGTATCTTTGCAACGGGTTTTTGATTTGCACTTTAGAGAGGTCAGATAAACAATGCACATTAACTCCGCGATGTTTACTAACCTACGGTGAACTTTTGATATACTCATCTTTAAAACCCTCTTTAGCTGCCTGCTGCTCTGTCAAAGTTAGCATTCGTTCAGTTTGGTTTGGAGTCCTTTGATTCGCTAATTTGCCCCTAAATTGTTGTTCAACTCGGTACTTTCAAATTTTGTTGAACGATCCTCTCTTGTTTTTGCACCGTAGTCGAGACACAATTGGTATCGTTCTCTCTCCTTAAGTGGTCAAGATAGGAAAAAAAGATTGACAACACAATTTCACTATCTACCACGCCTTTTCTAGGTAATTGCTTCTTTTGCATTTCTTTACTAAGGGCTAAATGGAAGTATCCACAATAACACTGAAATCTTGACTTGTTCATTTCGTAGACCAGTTCGGTGGTTTTAGAAATTTTACTAGCTTTTGTCATTGTCTTAAAAAAATAAATGCTAACCACACTAATAGTATACTTTAAGAGGTCCATAAAAAACATGCATTAACCCTCACAGGGAGTATTTTAATGACAAACTCCTTGGTTTTTATGCCATTTCGCCTCCTAAGGCATTGAAATAATCCATTGTGAAAGTATAATAGAAAGTTAAAATATAATGGATAAAAGTATGTAAGGGAATGGGAGCAAAACAATTATTAAAATCTGTTGGCATGGGAATTTATTTCAAAATTGGAATTTACTCGACTAAAATCGCCACACACGAATTCACGACTATACAACATTGCCTTCTCCAAACTCAGTTTCTGCTCTAAGAGAAGTAGTTAATCATGAGCACGAAAGCGGCAATGAATCCAGAACCCGTCATTATTGCAATCCTCCCAGCAGGATTACATCCATCTATATTGCATTTGTGGTACCTAGTTGTGGTGTTAGCTCCAGTTACACCTGCCACTACTACAGAGACCTGTTTCCGAAGGTCATCAGTTGAGCATCCACGAAAGTAAAGCACTGTTGGTTCCTTTTTTTCACCCATCATCATTTTGAATTTGATTGTCTAAAATACATGCATGAATTAAAACAAAACGCGAGAAAGAACATACCACCGTGATGAACTCGCAGGACAATGCTTCGGGAGGGCAATCATCTAGTGGAACTAGGGTTGTGTTCAACGGGTAGCAGCCAGGTTGCGTTGAGGACTGGCATTGATAGCACTTTATGGCCTCAGCAATGGTGAGTGTTGAAAGAAGGAGGCAAATGGAAAGCACAACCTGTCTGCAATTCATGNACCAAAGTATGAGCAGACTTCCAATCAGTGAAATTAACCAATGAGAAAGTAAATTAAGATGTGGTTGGTGTAACTTGGTGCCTCTAATAAGACATTCATCACGTGCACCTTTAAATCAATAACGGGTGTCTAAAAATGTCACCCTGTTTCGAATAGCACCAGTCATTAATTTAAAATAGATTTCAAGTAGAAAGCACATGTAAGATTGAATTAATTCAAACTTCTTCAAATACTAACTTCTGTGACTCCTAAAAATTACTTAAGTGTGAAATAGTGATACCGGTTAAAAGCACTCTAACATTAAGAGTAAGTTGTTATTCTCATTTAAAAGCGGTTTTTTCATTTTAATACGCATATGGTATG